CCAACCCCTATTGCTCATATAAGCATCCAACCTATGTTTGAAGCAATTCAGCGTATTCGAGTTAATGATGATATTTGGTAACTTGTTCCATTCATCCACTACTGCCTACGCCAGACCTGTACGCTTGACGCTAATAATGGGAGGAGGAAGGCAACGTGCAGGCCCGTCCTTTAGGGGGGGGGGGGCGTACAGGAGCGACCGCCCGGGGCCCCGCGCGTGTGGGGGCCCCGCGGGGCCCATCACTAGACCCAGTGACCTCGGACACATTACCTGTTGACTGGTTAATCTGACCTGACGGCTTACGCCACCATCACAACCGTGACCTTACCATCCATAGCGACAGTCCCATGGGGGTTGGTGGGGGTGGGTTCCTCTGACCACATAATCTGACTCCATAATCCATTGCACTCCACTCCACACAGCCAGTCCACCAGGGTCAGTAACCAGTGAGATCAGGTTATGTCCTGTCCTGTGAACTGTGACTCCTGCCTTTTGAGTTTTGTGGATATATTTTTTTTGTGTGTGTAAGACACATGGCAAGCAGAGACAGAGACAGAAAATACATCTCGGGGGCAGTGAAAAGGCAAAAGAAAAGGAAACGAGAAGATATTGATAATGTATTGAAAGGTTCCCTTAACAAATTTGTGTTACAAACAACTCCAGAAACTACTGCAAGTGACTGAGCTTGTGTGAATTATATAAATGAAAGGAAGAGAACAGTGGTGAAAAACAGATGAAAACTTTAAAAATGGACAGCTCAGACAGTAACCGTGAAACTGAAGATGATTTATGTGATCCAGCCAACTGGCCACAGCTTCTGGACAGTAGAACAATGAACTACTTGGTAATAAATGGACCTGTGAAAGTTACTAGTGAAAATTATATTTTTCCTAAAAATAGTGAAAATTGGCATATATATATATTTTCTGGGGCCCCGCAGTGGCTGAGTTGCCCCGGGCCCTGCACCCTCCTAGGGACGGCCCTGGCAACGTGACCCTGACCTTAAGGTGGAGGACATGGCATGCAGATTAGCCACTTGGTTCATGATGCTATGTGAACCAGTGCACTGTAGGTGGTGGTTCATGATGCTATGTGAACCACTGTACTGTAGGTGGTGGTTCATGATGCTATGTGAACCACTGTACTGTAGGTGGTGGTTCATGACGCTATGTGAACCACTGTACTGTAGGTGGTGGTTCATGATGCTATGTGAACCACTGTACTGTAGGTGGTGGTTCATGATGCTATGTGAACCACTGTACTGTAGGTGGTGGTTCATGATGCGATGTGAACCACTGTACTGTAGGTGGTGGTTCATGATGCTATGTGAACCACTGTACTGTAGGTGGTGGTTCATGATGCGATGTGAACCACTGTACTGTAGGTGGTGGTTCATGATGCTATGTGAACCACTGTACTGTAGGTGGTGGTTCATGATGCTATGTGAACCACTGTACTGTAGGTGGTGGTTCATGATGCTATGTGAACCACTGTACTGTAGGTGGTGGTTCATGATGCTATGTGAACCACTGTACTGTAGGTGGTGGTTCATGATGCTATGTCATGGGTCATATTACTACTACGTTATATAACAAATTATTCTTCCGTGGTTATTAATTTATAATATATTAAACTAATTAACACTTGTGGAGCATATTGAGCATATATTTGTAAAGTAACTATTTACTTCTGGAGCATATTGAGCATTTACCATAATTATATTCATAAAACATTACCAACTATTGTTTCTATTTAATTCTGTTACTTGATGGATTGATAATTTAATCTTTCGTATAATAATTCTGTAATATATTTAGTTACATTGTTTTATTGTGTTATATGAATCAAGATAAAATTATATAGTTTGTTATAGTTTTATATAATTTTTAATGTCCAGTGTTTAAGACCTGCACACATAAGGTTTAATAGTTGATACCAGCAGTAAAACTCACGAGGGACCTATGGATGACCTGTAGTCCTATCACAACCTATTAAAGAGATACACACACACGTACTGTATATAGTGAAACAGACATATAGATACTTACATAGACAGATAGACAAAGACAGACAGACAGGACACAAAGACAGACAGACAGACAAGAAAAAACAAGTCTCAGGTAGGATTAACTCATCAAGGTCGTCTGACAAGGAGGAGGACGCACCTCTTACCTGACCTTCACACAGCACCCCCCTCCCCCACACTCCTTCCTCCTCTTCCCCATCCTCTCCCACACTTCCTCCTCCTCCTCCTCCTCTCCCGCACTCCCTCCTCTTCTTCATCTTCTTTTTCCTCCTCATCCTCTCCCGCACTCCCTCCTTCTCTTCCTCCTCCCCCTCTTCATCTTTATCCTCTCCCACACACTCTCTCCTCCTTCTCTCTCACACTCTTGCTCTTCCACTCTCCTCTTTTTCCACTCACTTCGTCTCCCACTCCTCCTTCCTTCTCTCCCAAACTCTTCCTTTTTCACATTCCTTCTCCTTCACACCCGTCCTCCTCCTCCTCCACACTCTTCTTCCTCCTCCTCCTCCTCCCCTTCCACACCCCTTCTCTTCGTCTCCCACATTCCTCTCGCCAGGGGCTTTTCCCTCAGGTAGGTTCACCTGTTTACGCATTTTGCGGTCCTACGCGGAAGTGGAGTCAGGGTCCTGGGGGGTGTTACTGTCAACACTTGACAAAGATGGGGGTATGTGGGGGAAGAGGGGGAGAGAAGGAAGGTGTGGGGGAGGAGGGAGGAGAACCTCAGGGAGGGAAGAGGCAGTGTGGGGAGGCAGGGGGTAATGAGGGAGAGTAAGAGAGAATGGGGGAGGAAAGGGCAGTGTGGGGGGAGACGCAGGGGTGTGTGGGGAGGTGAGGGAGGTGTGGGGGAGGAAGGGCGGTGTGGGGGGAGAGACGGGGGTGTGGGGAGGTAGGGAGGTGTGTAATGGAAGCGGGTGTGTAGGGGAGGCTAGTGTATGGGGAGGGAAGGTGTGTAAAGGAAAGTAAACAAAATAATTAACAGGTAAGGGACCCCGGTACAGTGCAGCTATTAAGTGCTCTGCCAACTCTATGTGGAACAGAAACTTGTCTTCCCATTTTCGAAAGATTCAGAGAGGCGAGTCGTCCACCTACTTCCGTCAATGTTAACTATACATTAGTTTTTTATGAGCTCTTTCTCTATTTAATGCATTTAGTACAGAATTGCTAGTTAACTTCAGCGTATTATTCGGATATATAAAATGAGCAGGGTACTGCTATATTGCCGAAAATATAAGGCTGGAACTATTAAGTTTTGGGCCATTACCCGTGTTAGGACCACCTCAACTTATTGGACGAAATTATATTTTTCCTGTATATTTCGGTGTATTTTGAATGAATTTTACATTCCTTTCTTGGGCAACTTCATGAAAAACTCACCAAAATTGTGTGGTAAAACACGTAAAAAAAAAACTAGCCAAACGAAACTTCACGAAACCTGACCTAATCTAACCTAAAAATTTTGTCTGTCTGCATTCTACAATAGTCAGGAGAGGACGCCTCATCATCTTTGGTATAAATTTTAGATAAAACAGCATAATATTTTCCCGGGTTTAAATAAGCTACACACATTTGGAATAATATTTCTGGAACTATGACATTTCGATTATCCCAGTAAACTGAAAGCCTTAGGACTAACAACACTTCAGACAAAAACACAATAGGGCAGATCTCAGAGACATTCAAAATATTGCAAGGGATGGAAAACGTGAACCTGGACCACTTTTCTGTGATGTCCCGCACCACCAATAAGACAAGGGTTAAATAGCTACAAAGTTCGCCAAGTTATCATACAGAACGTACATAAGCAAATACTTTATCACACAGAGGGTGGTAGATCTATAGAACAGTCTACCAACTCAAGCTGTGTAATAAAGAACAGTGTTGAGGTTCAAAATGGCCCTAAATAAAATTATCACGAACCATGGTGGGATACTACACAGGTCAGTGGCCGCCTTCCTTCTGCATGACCACCTCCATAATGGGTAGCCATTTGGTAAATAATAGGAATTAGTACCAGATAACAAACTAGGTACTTTCTGTTTAATATGGAGCCTCCCGGCTAGTAACTTAGGTACAATTATGTAATTTTCTTAAAGTCGCTGAGTGCTCTTGAAAACATTTACCAAATCGTCAAAGGGTGTTTTCGAAATCATCTAAAATTATCCATTAGACAGTTATTTTGTTAATTGCAATACCATAGTTAGTAGACATGAGTCTTTGTAATACTTACTGCAAGACTGTATGTGTGCACATTGGAGGTCTGTAAAGAATCCCAGCTACTGCAAAGATATGTTTCTCCAGTTAATAAACATCTCGGCAGTAAAGACCTACCCACCTCCGCAGGCACAAGGGCTCTTTCTTCATTACACCTTGCTTGGAAGTTGCTGCTTGCGCGGGATGTCTTCGTAGAGCTACGAAAACTTCGAATCGCTGACTACGATGACGTTCAGTTGAAAAACTAACACTACGAACGCTACGACTCCTACGAGTCGCCCAACTAAACGTATAAGAAGTTAAGAACAATGGAGAATTAAACAAGTTACCGGCTTCCTTTCCTCGGCAGGGCGGTAGTTCAAGATAAAATAAGTTATCCAGTGTGACCCTACCAAGCAGATAAGTGACAAAATGGAAAATTAATAGTAATACTAATAATAAAAATATAGTAATACAAAATCACAAAACCCTAATATATCATCGTTCGCATGAGAAATCTTAAATCCGGATCATTTTGACATCGTTCGCATAAGGTGAGGAAGCTGTTTACACTACTCACTAGATATTAATGTTAAAGAATAACACAAACAAACTCTTAAAGCTATTTTTTCCCCAAGCTTTATCAACCAACTAATATTATTCTAAACAAACCGTAAATATTTTTGGAGAGTCGGATTTGATTATTGAAGGTTTGTATAGTTTGCTTAAAGAAATAAAAGTTTAAGGATTCCATTGTTCTGTTCGTATCATTTCTAACATTAACCATCTTGCTGATTGACTTGCCCAGTAAGGTGATGTACCGACAAAATTTAGTCAATATAATCAACATTTGTGATAGGTTTTGGTTTCTGGTGTAATAAAACTATTATTTATCTGTTACGTGAGTATTATGCACCTTATTATTGTATATGTAAAATGTAAGCTAACTCCTTCATTATTCTAGAAACAGGAATAAATGTTGACATCACTGACTGTATTGAAGCATCCTTGCATGGCATTGATACATTTTTATTTTTTTTCTTGGTTAAGATTTCGAAAAGGTTAACCATGGAACTGTCTAGTATTAATTTGTATAGAGGGATAGAGAGCAATAAAATAAAGTGTGCTTTATAGCGTTATCATCGGGAGTATATACATTTTTAGTTTTTTTTACTTAGATTTTAGGTTTGGTTGTTTAGGTTCTTTTGTTTTCTTCTTTTGTCTTGTTTGGTTATGTCAGGTTTACACACAGGGCTTGTCCATCCCGCCTGGATAGAAGGTTAGGTCTGGTCCTTCTGGTTTCTTTGGTTAGGTTAAGTTGTGCATGTACACTGAGATTTGAGAGTCGTTAGGTAGGTTCTTGATGGTCTTCTTGTTTGGCAAAATTTTATTTCCTCCACAATTTTTGGATTTCTTGTTAATCTGAAGAACTTTTTCTCTATTAAAAAGTTTCCTAACTCTGCTCCTTAATCCGTACATCTCATCTTAAATATTACACTCTAAAGTTTTCTGTAATTAATAGGTTAGGTTAGGTTTCATTAGGTTTGGTTTTATCATTTTTTTTTTTAGTGTATTTATACCCCACAGTTTCCTTCTACTTCAAAAGCCCTGCCCACTTTGTGGAATCAAAATTATATTTTTTATGTGAAATAGAAAAGTAAAAAAAAATCAAAAAATATAAATTCCAATGAAAATGTTATAGACTAAAGTATTATTATTGTATTTGCTTTATCTTCTTATATACAAATCAATACAGTATTGTATAGAGTTCCATGGATGGCCTTTTTGAAATCTTTACTTGTTCTTTTTTTCAGAATTGTTCAGTACACTATTATTTCTTACTGCAGAAATTGTTGTCAGTCTAATGAAAAAAATGCTATAGTTCATATCAGAAGCAGTCCATAACTAGTGATGAAAATGGGGGTTATACGGGTACATATGGCGGGTACTGGTATCTGCTTCGCAATTTCCATGTTTTTATGTTCATTTTCTGTGCTAATGGAGACTCTTATTAGATGGCCTCTGTCAAGTTTATACCAATCAGCTATGATTTGTTTCCTCTATGGTAAATATCGAAAACTCTATACATAACGTATGTAGATATAAATATATAAATCATATGTTGGATATCGCGATATATGGTAAAAGTCGGCAAATGTAATCTGGCAGTTATAATCGTAATTGTATGCCAAATGTGGCGTAGGTGTACAGATATTGCACATCACATAAGGAACCAAATGTGAAAGACAGTTGTGAAAAATATAATTTCAAAAGCATTCCAAAATGTCTATTATGATTGTTGAATCTACTACAGTACTATTAATGGCAAAACTGTTTTAGTAATGTGGCCATAAAATTAACTAGTGTAATTCCAATATATATATTCTAGGAATTTTGTAGGTTTTTTACTTTTGTGCAGTACACCAGACTACCTTAAAGTAATGTTGCTTATTTTTAAGGGTCCATAAAAATGGCTGATGAAACAAATGGAGCCTTGCTGATAGAGGAGGAGCTTGTGGCCACCCACCGTAGAGAGAAGAAGGAACTACAAGGTGACGCTCAACCTCTACTTGTTTTCAAATTTAAAATTCTCCAGTCATTACATATCAACAGTCTTCTTCCACACTGGCATATGAACTACATTCTTTACCAGTACACTTAAGTTCTGTACTGTTTATACTTTTTTCAATATCGTATTTTATTGAATTGTGATTGAAAAATAGTACACTATAATTTTTTTTTGTATTTCTGTTGTATGCCAATTGATGTCTTCTGCAATTTGTGTTTGTGGAAGCAAGATTCTAATATCTAAATGTGCTTCTTTTTCAATTGATCTGTGTGTGTGTGTTATAGCATGTATCCAACAACTGAAGAAGTCTGCCAACAAGGATAAGAAGAAGAAGAAAGAGGCATCAGATGAAATAGCACGAATGGAGAAGGACTTGCAGGACAAACACACTCAAGAGTTAGCTGCACTTAAGACTTCCCAGCAGGAGGTAAGTGAAATTTAAACATGGATGATTTTTTATATTTTTATTTTAAGCTTTCTGTACTCCCAGCTACATGGATTGAGGAAATTTAGTACAGTCTCATGGAAGGAGAGAGAAATACAGAACAGTAATTATTAACTAACACAAGGGAGACAACCTTCCTCAAATGAATGATAAAGTTAAAGTTGAAAAAGAACGATAAAAAGACACCCCCAAAAAAGTTTAATAATGTACAACAGACTAAAAAAATCCTATGGTGTCCATCTATATGTTACTTTTACTCCTCTTCCTCTTTAGTATGAGATTGAATAAGGAGTACAGAAACTTAAGTGAAGAGGTGGCCATAATAGGGAGATTTGCACGAAACACAAATAAAGCAGGAAGTAACGTGACAAAGCTAAGATAAAAAACACAAAAATACCTGCATGTGTACAGTATTTGTATCCTCAACTTACCCACCAAGTAAATCATAACATCTTCATTGATTCACACAACCTCATAGCCATTCACTGTGCCTACTAACTTGAGTCCTCAGGTTTATTGATGTTACCTCTATCATGAATGAAATGACTCTACTGTTCCCATGCCTTTATTCATACTGATATAAGTATTCCTAATCAATCTTCTGACAGCTTATGTCCATGCTATATCTTCATGGGCTCTCATGCATTCGACTCCAGAAACTTCTTCATATGTCTTCATTCCTTAATCTGCCAGTTATCCAGATTCCTATAGTCTTCTCACCCTATCCCTCACTTCTTTTCTATCACTACTCTAATACACCTGAGTTTTACATCCATATAAATGTTGGAACAAGCACTCTTTCATGTTTTTATTTATTTATTTTTTTTTTTTTACGGGGAATAGCCCACCCGGGCACAGGTCATCGACCCACATGATAGCTGATATAAGTAAGAAAAGACAGTTCCAGGGTTTAAAGCAGATAAAGATTGCCTGACTTGTCTGCTGGGATGGCAATTCTTCAGGAGATGTAAAGCTCAAACTTTTATTGGTCTACCATTCAGGGACCAAGGTTTTTGAAGGGCTGTTCCGAGAATAACTTTCCTGTCTTTGGCAAGCAAATGAAGAAGCCTTGGTGACAATGTCTGTGTTCCTTTTTTAAAGGATTACTGTTCCAGAAATAACCTGGAAAACAAAGCATTGCTAATCTTGGATAATGCACCTGGACATCCTGCGAATCTCAGTGATTGATGAAAATGTAATTTTGTTTTTGTTTTTAGTCACCAAACACAACATCATCATTGTAGGGAGTTTTGTCAACTTAAATACATAATACTACTTTGTCAATGGAACAAATGGTGAAAATAAGCCAACAACATGAAAGTTCTGGTATTGCTACAATATTAGACAAGCTATGGGTAATGTTAGGGCATCATGGTGTCAAGTTTCCTTAACAAATATGAATGGTGTGTGTGGAAGAAAATCTTGCTTCTGTCAGTGAATTCAAGAGCTTTCAAAAGATAAACCAGAAATATTAAGTGAAATTGTTGGGCTGGCTGAGAAATTTGGATTTGACAAAGTTGATGAAGCAGAAGTCAAGAAATTGTTCAAGTCTCAGAGGACTTATGTAATTCAGACTTGTTTCTGCTGGAGCAACATTGAGCAGAGGAAGAGGTTGTTAACACTGACACACCACCCCTAAACAGTTGGCAACCAAGGCATTCCACCATTTTGAAGATGGAATGACAATCTAGGTGGAGGATGATCCCAACATGGAACACAACTCTGCATTGAACAAGAGTTTTGAAAGTTTTATTCACTGCCACAAAGAACTGTAATAACATACTCGGTAAGAAAAAGGCTGTCCACTTGTCCAGGTGTGTCTGCATACATTTATTAAATGGGTAAGTAAGAATGCCTCACAGAGATCTGTGGCAGCAGTCCACAAACATAGCCACTAAAAGGCTCAAAAAGAACCCTTGCTACAAGCCCAAGGAAGTAGCCAAGAAGAAACTCTTAAGATGAGCCAGCAACCTCTAGCACTTATGTTTAGCTTCACTTTTACCTTTTTTCTCCTCTGCCTCTTTCAACAACATCTGCACTCTGGTGAAAATTTACTTGATTTTTAAACTTGTTATTATTACCTTCTTCTGGTGCTTATTTAAGAAAAGTTTTTATCAAATATGCATCCTAGGTATGTCTCTTAGAATTTTGTCATTAAGTCACAGTGAAATGGGGTTCAATTTACTGTACATTGTTTTGCCCAATGTAATGTTTTACAGGATTGAGACTCAATGTAGATCGAGGACTTAATGTATATGAATTCATTCACACCCTCCACTTCTTCATTAATAGTTACATTACACAAGACTTTGTACTCATTCATACACTATTTCTTTACCTTTCCAGTATTTACTTTTGTCATTCCTCTACAGCTAACTTCATCAGTATAAAGTACAATACCATTCTCACTAACTCTCTCTCAGACTTGGAAAACAACACATCATTCACACATTCTTAGATGTAACAATCCTAAATGTGAAGAAAAAATCCTAGCCTATTATTGTACTGCATATGTACTGTATACCTGAGCTGTTTGTACACATTATTGTAGTATTCAACCCATAAGGAATTAGTTATGGGTTCAACTTCCAATTACAATGTTGGACTGGGCTCCATTCTTGTATATTATCAATGCTTATAGCTTCAGTATTTTCCATGCTTGTGTTGGTTAGCTGCAATTATTTGATGGTAGATGTTGGTTAAAACTAGAATGGTCCCCCCTCTCCCTCACCACTGCAAGCCCAAGGCTCCAGCCCAGAAAATACAGCAGGGGATGGGCACAGCTCTGGTGACCTGGTTGCCATCAGGCATGTTGAGGCAAAGTTTTATTGCTGGATCCCATTCCTAAAACCCTAAAACCAACCCACAGAGTAGGAACAGTTAACAAGGCAGGGTCAAAACTCCCTAAGGTAATCTCTGACTACACCAGCCATTATTTGCTCAGCAGTAAATGCATATAATATCTTGTTACTCTATTATCCAGTGTTGTGGATGCCATTAAGTATTTCGACACCTCATAAGAGCCTTGCTAAAACAAATTTTTAACGAGCTATGGGGAAAGAATTTACATACAGTATTAGAATAAATCCCTTTTGGAGGCTGGTTTGTGGATACTGAATTTCTTGGTAGCTACTTTCCATGGAACCTGAGGACTCAAATCTTTGAGTTTGATCCCAGTCAGCCAAGGCTTTCATGAGTTTGTGGACTTATTAGGTGAATTGAAAGAACGCTGAAGTTTTTGAAGTTAATGCTGTCTGGGATTACAGGTAAATGTAGTGAGCAATGGTGTGGACTCATTGACCCTTACTGATGAGGATCCTGGTGAACCAGAGGAAGTAGATGGTGACATTGAATGTAGCCAGCCAGGAGGTAGGTTGTGTAGTAACCACCAGGTCTCACATTCTGCTGTGGAGAGTAATTAAACAAACAGTTTCAACAATGGTGTGGTATTTGCAGATGCTGATTACTGTCATGTCAAGTATCTAGACTACTGTACATTACTTATTCCTATTGTAAGATTGCCACCTTGAAGAGATACAGAAATAAGGTTTAGTTAACTTAATTAGGCAAATATTTCACACGTGACATCCTGATGAATATCCAAATTAATGTACAGTACTGAATATTTGAGCATTCTACTGCTGTACTTATTTGGTAGGATCGATTTTTTTTAAACTGCCCCTTCCCAAGATTGATACATTTGTCATTCACATATACTTATATTTGGTGATGTTAAATGTACTGTACAGTACTGTACTGATAATGAAGTAATAAAGTCACTCTGAGCATCCTTTGCTGTTTTATAGGGAAATGTACAATATCAAGCAGGTACAAAAGATTACAGGGATTATATAAGTCTATAACTACAGAACAATGTTGTATATTAAGCTGGGAGTGAATAGAAATGTAAATTATCATAAGTTTCTTATTCTGTCATTGTTTTGATATATAAGTAATAATAATAATAAACGGTTTATTAAGAGAATTGCAGCTGGTGGCTGAAAATATACAGACTTACATATGATTTAGACATAATGATATAATATGCGTTGAATACATTTACAGGGCTGTACAGTACATAAATCAGGAGTTGTTTATTATATCTATCGGTGCGGGCTCTTATGGACAGAATTTTGTTGTAGTGGCGGACTGCGCGAGGTGGGTGGGGGGCTGCCGGTGGCAGGAGGTGGCAATGACAAGGGTGGTGCATTAGTTCACTGCCAAACCTTGCCAGTGCTTGGTGGTGGAGGTCACTGAAGGATGGTATTTCCAGGGTGAAGAGAGCATTGATGTAGCCGGAGTATTCTGCGCCGAGCATGATTCTGCAGGCCCTTTTTTGTACCTTCTCTTGCCGACGTTGTTGGGTGGAGTTGAGAGAAGACGACCAGGCTGGTGATGCATATGTTAGTTTGGGGAAAATAAAGGCGTTGTAGATAGTCCTCAGCTCTGGCGTGGGTGTCCCAAGTGAGCTAAGTCGTCGTAGCATGTAGAGATGGTACGAGGCTGCCTTGACTGTGATATTTACATGGGCCTTCCAGTCCAGTTTGTTGTCTGTAGTTACACCCAGGAGTTTGGCAGACTGCATTAACTGGAGAGGATGGGCACCCACTGTGACTGCTGGAGCTTGCACTGGAGTGGTGGCAGTATTGATGTGCATGACTATGGTTTTGGTGTGGTTGATGGTGACCTTGTTCTCCATTGTCCATGCCTGTAGCCTGTCCAGGGTGCCTTGTAGCAATGAGTAGTCTGGTGCGGTGTTGTCCACTGTAACCCCCACAGTGCAGTCATCCACGTACTTCCACCTGTGAGGAGTGTCTGATAGAGCGTCGTTGATCAGGATGAGGAAGCACAGTGGTCCCATCTTGGTCCCCTGGGGAACACCGCAGGTGAAGTGTTGGAATGTGGAGACCGAGCCCTGATACCTCACTGCCTGACGACGTCCCACTCAAGAAATCAGTGAGCCATGAGATAAGGTTGGTGGGCAGCCCTAGTGCAATGGCCTTGTTGATAACAGTGCAGTGATCAAAGGCCTTCCTGAAGTCAACAAGGGCAACGGCCAGTGATGTCTTACGTTTCTGCAAGTTTTTGTGCAGAAAATCCAGAAAGCTCACTTAAGCAGTGTGATGTAGAGGAGGTCCTCAAATTGCCAAATTGCTGTGGATCAATTGACTGATAGATTCTAGCAAATGCCCACTCAAAAACAAAGTCTTCACAGAGTAGACTGGGTATGGGGGTAATGGCAACTGGCCTGAAGTCGTTAGGGGACTGTGGGGTGGTTACCTTGGGGATGGGGGTAACAAATGCGGTTTTCCATTCATTAGGGCATTTGCTTTGTCTGAGGGATGCATTAATAATAGAACAGAGGGGGGTGACAAGTTCGACTGCAAACTCCTTGTATATTTTGATTGGGAGGTCAATTGGGGTCGTGGAGTGTTTGGATTTAAATTTCAGGAGTTTGTTGGCGATTTCAAATGGTTGAACACTGGGAGGGGGAAGGTAAGTAAGCTGGGAGGAGAGTGAGGTCAAGACTGGGTAAGGTATGACATATGGTAGCAAAGTGGTTATTAATTATCTCAGCTGCCTCCTCACTAGGTAAATGTGAGATGAAAGGAAGTGCGGGAGACTGATGGTTGAGACCAGAGAGATCTTTTACCTTGGAGTACCACTGACCGATGCCGACTTCCTTGAGGCCGTGCACTTTCCTGGGATAATAAGTCTTCTTGGCCGACTTGATTTCCCTGATGACCTGGTTACATAGACTTTTGTACAGCCGGTTGTTGGTGTAGTATGCCTTGTTGCGCTGCTCAATAAGTCTTTTTATGCGGGGCGTAATCCACGGGACATCATCGGGGTGGATCCTCAGTGTCTTGGCTGGAAAGAAGTGGTGGTAGGCTTTGGTGATAGTGTCCAGGTAATTATCCCACTTGTTCTGCACATCGTCTACCGTCATCACTTCAGTCCAGGGATACCGGGTTATCCATTGTCCGAAACGCTGCATAGCAGATTCAGGGGTGGGTCGGTAAGTCCTGGTGGCAACTGGCGGTCGTGAGAAGGTGGGAGTAGGTGACCACAGTAGAGACAGGTGGGGGCTGCGTCCCATGGGAGGCAGCGGCTGGGGGGTGGGGAGGTAATGGTTACCGAGATCAGTCATGATGAGGTCAAGGGTGGCATTCCCAAGTGTGGGAAAGTCAACTATTTGTGTAAGGTGGAGGTGTTGGGTGATGTCACTGATGTGTATATCTGTGTGTGCACATATTTACTGTACAGTACTCTTTTAGAGCTTGTTATAATTTGAAAATACTGGTTACATGTGTCCTTTATACTCTAGTACTTACACATCTCTTAGATCATTTATATAATCAGTTTAAAGTATAGGCTGACTCCAATTTACTCGAGTTACCTTCCTGAAAAAACATTCTGTAAATAAACTTTTCCCCATTGACTTGTGTTATATAACTGAAGATACATTGTCTATGAAAAAATCCCACACTTGAGCCCTGATGAACTATTGTGTCATCCTTTCTTTATATAATGGAAACACTTTGGTCACAGACACTTGCACTATGACCCAATGCTTCTAGGAGTCTTTGTTCCTGTTCGAAGTGATAGAACTGAGTTTTAACAATGGTAAAAGGAAACAGTATGGTAGGTGTAAAAAAAAATTTTAATTCTTCAATACTGAGCCAAAGACATTCTATGAAACGTAAGCAGAGGCGCAAAATGTTACGTACCCACCCAGCACTCCCAACAGCCAGCTGGCCAAGTGTCGGGCTCGCCTCAGCTGATGCTCCTCATGTGATGCTAACATTCTCCACACCTCGAAACATTTTTTCACTTCCAAATTCCACACTTTCTCTTACAACTCTACACTTTTATTGTATGTAATTAGCATACAAAATTTAAAAATACCTGTACAGAATAATTATCATTTACTTAATTTTCCCACACACTACATGAGAGTAAATGAGGAGAAATTGGACAATTAAACAACAGGTTGAATAATTGTGTGTGTGGTGTAAGTGACGTGTCATTTACCTTCACATGAGTTTTAGGAGTACAGGACGTTATTTGGTGATGAAAGGAGAATTGTGACACATGAACGCTAGTTTGTAGCTGTAGATGTATTAACATTGTGGGTATTAGATGACACTGTTAGTGAAATAAGTAATCATATTGGTACAGTACTGGATTATTTAAAATACATTATTTTAGCACTCCATTGTTCTCAGTATTTCTAGTGAAAATTTTTTCAAAACTTTGGGGCTTTCACTTGTAAATCAAAGCACAGGATAAAAGTTTTCTTTTGTAATTGCAAATATTTGTAAATAAAATCCTTGTGAATCGGGATCTGCCAGTAATGTACACTTCAGAAATTACTAGGTCTGAGTGCTGCTGTAAGTATTCCAAGCTAGAGTGTCTTAATAGTTTTCTCATGTGGGAAGATATTGGAAGCATAATGTGTTGTCTAATGGTAGACCCTGCTGCCATATGGCATCACAAAAATTGTGACCAAGTCCCAGGTTGTTGATCTGACTTTCTGCCTCATTTACACACAATTACAGGGTCTCAATTGTTTCTCTTACTTTGGTAACACAACATACATACTGTATATCGTTTCTCACTGTTGATCTTTTTTTAATTTATTTATGGTCCTTTACTATTAGTATCATTATTGTTGCTGTATGTATTATATTTTTATTTAATATTTAAAAAAAATTATAATTATTATTATTATTATTATTATTATTATTATTATTATTATTATTATTATTATTATTATTATTATTATTATTATATTTTTACCCCCAGGCCCAGATGTGGGTCATTGACCTGTGCCCTGGTGGGCAAATCCCGTAAAAAAAAAGGAAAAGAAAAAAAAAGATAACTTACAACTAGTTTTTATATAGCTGTAATTATATTCTTATCAAGAATGTACATGGCTACTTGTGTCAGATATAAAATCTGTTGTATAATTTTTGTTTGCATATACTTCCTGTACTGTATAGTAGTCCTAGAAAGTGATGTTTGAGTATGGATAGAGTAAAAAAAAAAAAAAATTATTTCTGGTTCAGGAAACTGATGCGTGGATAGGAATGGATTGAATCAGTTTGTTTGTTAATAATTTTCAGGGAAGAAGTTGAGTAAAGCAGAGAAACGCCGTCAGAAGAAAGCAGAGGCCATCCGGGAGCGGGAGGCAAGAATTAAGGAGGAGGAGGCCAATAATAAGTACAGCGCTCGTAACATAGAAGCGGAGAAACTAAAGTTGTTACTACGAGAAAGAAAACTAAAGATGCACGAGATTAAACCTGATGGCAATTGGTGAGATTCACTTGGTATTCTTTAAAAACATTCATTATTGTTGTTATTATTTTTAACAGTACAATATGTATTTGGAATATTATTAGTTTATTTATTTTTATTTTTTTTATTTTTTTGAGGTTGGGTGAATCTCTTCCAACCCAATTAGGTTTAGGAAAACAAAAAGAAAGTTTACATACCATATTTTGAAAGCCAGCTGTTTGCAACACAAGTACAGTATGTTGACAAAGTAAATCTTGAAACCACAGATGAACTTGACTACAGATTTTGTGAATAGAAAGGAAACACAATTATTTTTAAAGTACCGATACTGTACAGTATACAATAGTGTATACTGTTTTTCACAATGGATGTACTGTACTACTTGTTTTGAGATTTTTACTTTTAATAAAAAACTTTGAATTTAGATGAGAAAAATAGAAGTTTTGTTCACAAAGTGTACATAAGGTATAAACCATAGACTTGTCCACTTGGTGTTATTAACATGGACAAATTCAGAGAAAGCTTTTACTGATACAGTACTGAAGAATCTTAAGAGCCTAGAACAGTTGTTTGCAGCGTATTTGAATTATGTACCACTAACCCATCTCTCCTTCAACTGTTTTATTACTGTACCGTATACAATACCTGTATCAAAAATATAAATTTAATATTGCAGGATAAGACATTTAAGACTAATACCATGTACAGTGGGGTGTTTCAAAAAAGACCAAATTGGCATTTTAAACTATCCGGTAGCTTTGCATCATTCACTATTCCAATAGCATCCAGTGTCTCCCTATCAATCACGAAAGCCCAAATTCATTCAGTGAATTTTATGACTATTTGTAGTCTGCACAACAACAAATGGCAGGTTTCACTATCTGAACATGAGAGAGTGTCTTATGTTCATTGTATGGGACTCTACCATCTGGATATTTTTTCATTTACCATAAGTGATTTGTTTAATGCAGGTTAATAACCTCTGGTCTAAAGTGTAAACTGGTAGTCTGACAAATATCTAATTTTTTGTCATGCCACCATCATCATCGCCATTTTATTGTGATTTTTCACACTTTTGTGGGTTAGCTATGATTACCTGATGGCATGGTGTCCCAGTTGCCATCAGGCAAATTCGAAGCAAGTTTTACATCTGGATGCTCTTCCTATTGCCAACCCACTTTTACAGAGTGGGAACTGGACATTATATGTAGGACTTCCAAGTGCCCTCTTAGTTTGCAAGGCAGGGTCACTACTACTCCCTGAAGGGATCAATAATGTATTACCACAAGGAGACTTTTTTGTGAGAGTGTTTGCAAGAGAGTGTTTTTAATTCCAAATATTCTATATCATTCCTCAGTATGTACACTGCCATAGCTCACCAGATGGAAGGAAACACAACAGTTCCATGGCTTCGACTACAAGCTGGTCAGTTTATCCGCCAAAACAATGAGGCCTTTGCACCTTTTATCACCGACCCCAAGACTGGAGAACTACTGACACTGACACAGTTTGCTGATTATTGCTTCCAGATTGAGAACACACCAGCATGGGGTGGCCAACCAGAGGTACTATATATCTGTCAGGATTCTGTTTAATGTACAGTATTAGTAAATTATTTAGCATGTTTCACTATTTCTTCAGAATGTAGTACAATGCTGTGCATGGGATCAAGAGAATAATAGAAATTTGCAGTACAGTAGTATAGTATTAAGTGAAGGAATAAAGACGTATGAAATTTCTTAAAACAAATCAGTAGGGATGAAGGCCATAGGTACCTAAAGTATGGATGATGTGAAGCAATTAGTTGTTTGTGACTCGGAGGAACAATTGTTACATTTATAAAGTCTAAAAAGCATTATGTTTGTAGGATGACTAAAAGTGTTTAATCTAATTATATGTTAACTTTATTGATATTACTGTATTTATTTTAGAGAAAAGGATGTGTTAGTTCTCCAACACAAATATCCAGTGTTTATTTGAACTTTTTCATTTCATTAGTTTCATTTGATTTTGTACCTCAAATATTTACTTGCTCAGTTGGTGTTTAATGTCTTGTATAGCTACAATAAAACTCTGATAATGTGGACCTCAGTAACCCCAAAACATGTTAATCCAAATTTCAGAGAGATAGTAGTGGTGTGGAGGGTTTTCTGTCAGGCTGTAACCTCAGGGGGAACTCCTTAGAGGACTCAAGCATCATAGATGAGATGGTTTACACATGTCATTCTGTGAAAAACATATAAGATCAATCCATCTGTGTGTCTCTCCCAATATCAGTGGCCTTCACAGAAAACTAAAAGGTGACCCAATCTAAGCATACTTACTTTGCTTTCTCAAATCTCATCCTCTCATAGCATGTTTCTCATATCCCCTTCCAGGGTGCTGGTTGCTTTCCCATCACCCAAGCCCAATTTTCATCATTCCGGCAAGTGTAACAATGTACAATTATTTTTCAGCTTCGTGCCTTGTCCCAAGTGCTGCAGAGGAAGATTGAAGTATTACAGGTATGTATTTATGATTACCGGTAGGTATTTGTCATTACAGTGGTTATTGGTGTGTGTGTGTGTGTGCGCGTGCGTGCGTGCGTGCATGCGTGCTTTTTTTTTTTTTTTTAAGAGATTATTCAAGAACATGTAGACTGATTTTGATAGAATTAGTGGGTTGCATTCTAATCAAAGAATGAGCTGCATTGATTATGGAGAAAATGGGTCTAGAGTTCACAGTATCCAGGAATACGTCCTGATCAGTGAGAGTAAACGGCCAATCAGGAGGACGTATTCCCGGGCAGATGACGAGATGACCCGCAAGAGGTATATAGGAGGCTGTCTGAAGTTGTTTTGTATCATTCTCTCTGAGGAAGGCATAATTCCAAAATGTAAAAGAATAAAACTTACCACCATTAATTCACTCATACTGTACTATACATTCAGTAAGTGTGAAAATAACATATATGCAGGAAAGGGGAAACACTGGAGCATCTTCGCTTTCATCTTTATTCAAGACCCCTAATCCCCCACCACACCTTCGCTGCAAATGAAAAAATAGTTTATATGTAAAGGTGACCTGATATAGCTTCAGGTCAGGTCAGTAACATGAGACCCACCTCCATCACAAGTGTTGAGATGTAAAAAGTGATTACAGTTACATATACAGTGAGTCCTCGCTTAACGTTGCTGTTATGTTCCTGAAAACGTGACGTTAAGCAGATTAATTTTTCCCCTTAAGAAATAGATAAAATACGGGAGTTACATTCCTGAGCATCCCTTTGCCCCATGAAAAAAGTTACATATACAGAAAATTATTGCCATTTCTATAGAGAATAGTACAGTATATAGAACTACAGTACTAAGTTTGTATTAGTACTCACCGATGGGCGGAGGTGGTAGAGCGACTGTATGGTGGGTAGTGGAGCGAAGGAGGATGGGAGAAGAGGAGGGTGGTGAGTCACTGAGACTCTGCGGCTGCCTCCTGCTCTGGGTTCCTCCGCCGCTGGTTGCTCCTCCTCCGTTGTTGTTTGCTCCTCCTCGGCTGCCGGCTGTTGTGAAGAAGCTCCTGCCGTCCCGCGACGAAAAAATGAATCCAGTGTTGACTGCTTGGTGCTACTCATCATCTCCTTATAGACCTTGGTGTAGCAACCAAGACTGTCCTCAATTCTACGTTGAACCTTTGAACTACATTCTCTGTTTGGGTCGTCATCTAGAAGCATTTGCATTGCTTGCTGGAACATGTTCAACGATTCTGCCAACCTCTATGAAGTTAGTGTTTGTTGAGGTTCTTCGTCGTCGTCGTCTTTAATGGGACTGTGCTCTGTTAATTGTTGCAGATCTTTGTTGGCGAGCTCTTCTGTATCGGATGCCAGGATATCCTCAATATCCTCTGATTCCAGCTCATCAAAGCCTGCCTGTCTAGCCTAGCTGAGGATATCCCTATTCACAGCTGGCACTAAGTCCGTGAATCCCGTAAAACTGTTGACACACTTGGGCCACAGTTTACGCCACACACCATTCAGGCAACTTTCTGAAACCTCTTCCCATGCCTTGCCAAATGTTGTCAATTGCATGAAGAATGTTGAAGCCGCTCCAATACTCTGGGATCTTTGGTTTATTTTCTCCGTCTGTAACCTTGAGCAGCTGGGCCATGGTAAGGCGTAAATAATACGCCTTGAATGCGGCTATGACGCCTTGGTCCATAGGCTGCATCAGTGCTGCCATGCTGGGAGGCAGGAATACAACTTTTACACTGTCAGGCAAGTCGTCGAGATTGGGAGGAGGAGCTGGAGCATTGTCAAGGATCAGAAGGATTTTGAAGTTAAAGTTCTCCTTGGCGTACACGTTTATCCACTGGCTAAATATGGCGCCGGTTATCCATGTCTTTCTGTTTGTCTTGTAAATGACAGAAAGGTGATTCTTAGAGTAACCTTTCAGGGCCAGTGGGTTGGCAGTGTGAGAAATCAGCATAGGCTTCAGCTTGAGGTCACCGGCAGCGTTCGCACCAAGCAGCAACGTGAAGCGGTATTTTGCTGCTTTAAAACCTGGCGCTTTTTTGGCTCCTTGGAGATATAGGTCCTCTCAGGCATCCTCTTCCAAAAGAGACTAGTCTCATCCACATTGAAGATATTCTTCGGTGAGTAGCCTCCTCGCTGGATAATCCGTTTGAATTCTGGCGGGAATGTCACGGCAGCAATCGTATCTGAACTGGCAGCTTCACCAGTGTCATCTTAATATTGTGGAAGTTATAACAATGCTTAATCGTTAAAACCATCCTCAGCTGGCTGTAAAGGTCTCTTCCTTCGATCCTTCTCCCTCTTCTGCCTTTAAGTCATCAAACAGGGATCTGGCCTTATGCTGGGTAACCATAAGGCTCACTGGGTCATTGCGTTGATTCTGGTCCTCCATCCACATTGCCAGCATCTTTTCCACCTTCTCTATCACAGTGCTTCTAGTACGAGTCATCTTAGTAGCACTCAGGGAAGAACCACTTTCAGCACTAACCTTAATTTTGTCAGCGTTGGTCCGGATAGTACGCGCTGCTGTTGTGGGGGTTAGACCAAGCACAGCGGCAATGTCCATAGCACGCTCCCCTTTTTCACATCGGGTTGCCTCTTCACTACACTAGCAACGGTAGCTCTTGATGGGCACTTGGAAGCCATTTCAAATGGTTAAAATACAGTATTTAGAGCAAGAACACTTAAGCACACACGAATGATGTGAAGTCATAGCAGAGACTGGCTTGGCGTCACTTGGGAACGCTGTGACGTTCCGCGACTGAGGGCAGCGCTCTGAGCTGAGAGAGCGTAGCGCGGCCAGACAAGAGCGGGTGATGCGCCGTAGAAAGTAGTCCGTGACGATGTAGTACCAAAACAACGTTAAGCGGGACGACGTTAAGCGAGGACTTACTGTAGTACTTTACTGTACATTCAGCAGAGTGGATAGTGTATGCCTACTATAGGCTCAAGATGGCAGCATCTGCTGGTGAGTACAGTACAATAGTAGCATACATTATTTTTTTTTATTTACAATATATTGTATGTGTACAGAGGTGTTTGCATTAATAAATGCAGCTCTCTGTCAGTACAGGTATCTCTCGTTTAATGGTGGGGAGGCATTCCTGAAAAACCTAATGTTAAGCGAAATTATCACTAAACGAGGGATAATGAGAAATTATATCATAAACGAGGGATAACGAGCAATAATATCCATGGAGAAGGCATGTAATTGTGTAACCAACTCGCCACCCAGTAGCTCTCAGAGTGGGTGATGCTGAGCTATGAGCTATGTTATTTATTGTTCAACTCGTAATTTTGGATGATATTTTCTTCTTTTTTTTACTCTGTTACATGCACACACAATCATTCATATAGAATGTACAAACAAAATTATCTTAAGGTAAAAAACAAGGTGACTACAGTGGTCCCTCGGTTAATGAACGCTTCGGTTAATGAAATTTCGGTTAACGAATTACTTTCCATAAGAATCTTCAATTGGGTTAACAAACAAAAATTTTATTAACGAAATTCTTACAAAACATATCAACATGTTTTGGCTTGCTCATTGGCTGGTAGGTTAGTCCGCCAATGCAGTAATCAGTTCTAGGGCTTACATTCGTTTCCATTGGAGTAAATATCAAGAAGATTGTGCTCTTCAATATTTTTCCAAGTTTTATATTAAAATTATTAGTCATTTTAACACTTATTTAACATAATTGCAGTACAGGGAACTAGTTTTTGGTGCGCCCATCAGCCACTTCACTCACTCATCAAGGCGTCTGTTTAAGTCTCTGTACAGTGAAGGAAACATCTTGCTTGAGGGTCTCTTGAATACACAGTATTTTTATGTTTTTACAGTACAGTTATTGGTCATTCTGATATTTATTTAACATATTGATAATATATAGTGCAGTGCAGTGTTGATTTAAATAAAATAATCATTAATTACAGCTAGTGAACTTAAAATTTTAGTGGTGAAATTAATGTATTGAATCCAGCACGAGTCCAAAGAAATCTAGAAAGGCGATTTCAATTCAAGTGAAACAGGAAATCATTAAGAAACATGAAGAAGGCATTAGAACAAATGTGCTAAGTAAAGATTATGGCGTGTCGGCATCAACTGTGTCGACTATTCTTTCGCAGAAAGACAAATTTAAAGAAGTGAAAGTGAGAGATAAATCTACCAGTGTTTAAAGGTAGATCATTAATTGCAGAAACAGAGAGGTTACTTCTTATTTGGATTAAGGAAAAACAACTGAAAGGAGATTCAATTTCTACTGAATTTGTTTGTAAAATAGCCAGGGAAATTTACAAACATTTGAAGGAAGAGCAACCTAGTTCTTCTGAAACTGAGTTTGAAGAGTTTAGGGCCAGCAAGGCTGGTTCGAGAAATTTAAGAAAAGAAGTGACTTTTTAGTGTTGTTAGGCATGGTGAAGCTGCCAGTGCAGATAAAGAAGGAGCAGCAAAATTTGTAGTGGAGTTCAAGGAACTGATGGATGAAGAAAACTATCTTCCACAGCAAGTGTTCAATGTGGATGAAACCGGACTGTTCTGGAAGAAAATGCCCAAAAGGACATTCACCACCAGAGATGAAGCCTCTTTACTGGGGCATAAACCCATGAAGGATCGTCTCACTCTATTGCTTAGTGCCAATGTTTCAGGGGATTTCCGGCTGATGCCTATGCTTGTCTACTACTTTGAAAACCCCCGGATGTTCAAGCAACAAAAGGTGGTAAAAGGACAACTTGGAGTTTATTGGAAGTCCAACCGTGAGACATGGGTAACAAGACAGCTCTTTAATGAATGGGCTGTTGAGGTGTTCTGCCCTTCTGTGAAGAGCTACCTAACCACCAATAAACTCCCTTTAAAGGCTCTTCTCCTTCTGGATAATGCCCCTGGTCATGACCCTGAACTTGCCAGCACTTGGAGGCTCGATTTGACTTTGTCAAAGTGTTGTTTTTGCCCCCCAACACTAAATCAATTATGCAGCCAATGGACCAGAATGTAATCAGCAACTTCAAGAAGCTGCACATGAAGAAAATGTTTAGGTGTCATCAGACAACTTCCACTGATCCTGATTTAACACTGTCACAGTTCCGGAAGACGCAATACAAGATCCTGGAGGCTGTAAAATTGATTGTGTCATCATGGCAAGAAGTCTCCATTCGATCCATGAATTCTGCATGGAAAGCACTGTGGCCATCAGCAGTCCATGATTTTGAGGGATTTGAGGAAGAAACGGAGTTGGACAAGGAGATTGTGTACATTGGTCAGTCACTGGGACTCGAAGTGGAGGAGGATGATGTGGAAGAGCTTGTGATGTCTCATGAGCAGGAACTTACTCCTGGAGAATTGAAGCAACTGGATGAGATGTTAGAAGCAGACAGTTGTGAGGAGGAAAGGGAAAGTGATGACCATATGTCTTCTTCCGATTTAAAAGATGTTGTTCACCACTGGGAGATGTTCAGGAAACTGGCTTCAAGGCACCCTGATGTGAAAACGACAGAACCTATTTTGTGTACTGTTGAGGACAAAGTGGTCTCCTTCAAAAACCAGTTAATGATCAGGAGGAGAAATGCCCCACAACCAAAAATTGACAGTTTCTTCTCTAAAAGGCAGTGGGAGAAAGATGCTACCCCTCAGCCTTCCACTTCAAAAATGAGAGAGGATTTTCCTGTTGGAGAATCTGTCAGTCCAGAGGTTCCTGACATTATTATGGAAGGTGACTTGTCTTCCAAGAAGCAGTAAAATGCTTCTCCTCCACCCCCACTTCCTTCTCTTCTCCCTTCTCCACCTCCCACTTCAAATTCACATCAGCATCATCAACCAGGAGCCTTCTACATACACACCTCAAAGTAAGTGTACTTTACTGCATTTTTTTTTTTACTTTGTATGTAATTTTCGGTGAGCTGGAACCAATTACCCCAAATCCCATTGAAACAGTGGATTCGGTTAATGAAATTTTCGGTTAACGAACGACCCTCTGGAACGAATTGTGTTCGTTAACCGAGGGACCACTGTACCAGTAAACATTTCTTTGAGCCAGCTATGACCTGCATATGTTATGGTTATTTTTCAACACATAATTTTGGAGAATTACATAATTTTCTTCATTTGTTTTGCTTTCTTACATGCACACAGAATTGTTCATACAGAATGTGCAAAAAAAAAATTGTCATAAGGTCAAAACATTTCTTACTTGCACTAGAGTTAGCACACAAAGAGGGGGAAGGGGAGGAGCAATATGGGAATCTCTCCGCTAAATGGCAGTGCAGTATTTTTTTTTTTTTTTTTTATTTTTAATATTTATATTTATTCCTCACATTTGCTGGTATGGTATGCTGTACTGTATATGCGACACAGTTCAGCCAGACAGTCACCAAGCTGAACTCAAGAATATTTAGCCCTGAAAAAGCATTGGGGTCAGATTATATCTTGAATGGAGATAAATTAGCATACAGTACTGTATCATAATAAAATACTGTGTATTAAAAATGGCATTCCATCACATATAAGTCCCTGTAGGTGGCTTTATTCACACTGGTTTTGTTTTGATATTTACCTACAGTTCAATTATTTCTTTTTAGGCTGAAGGGTCACCCGTTATATTTGGTGAAGAGTACACAGATAAGAAGACTATCCTGCTAGCATACTACCGTCACTACTACGGCCTTGGTGAACACTACAACTCTGTCACTGCCCTCACCCCCACAGCTGAGGAAGAATCCAGATAATGTCATGACTGTAGGAATCATTGTATTTATTGTGTTCATAAGAGCTCTGGATAAAAGCATCACAATTTACGGCAGATAATTTTTTTCTGAAAAATGGTTAAAGAACACCCCACGCCCTATATTTCAAGTTGCGGTCTCCCGTTGGCTAAATTCTACCTGGCCCAACTTCAGAATTAAAAATGTATTTTTTTCTTAAACATATTATTATTACTTTAAATTATTAAAAGAGGAATTACATTATTTTAAATATAAAAGCTTGATTTATAACTACACTACTGATGATGATAACACGAGACAATTAGCGACTGTATGGTACCCAACTTTTCAGAGCTAAGCAGTAACCGTTAATCTCAATTCTTGCAAGCATTACTACCTATTATTGTCACACTTGCAACATTTATCTTATTGCTTTTATTAGGAAATATCCTTAAGCTTTTGAAAGAAACTTAAATTTATGATGGTAACGGTCAATAACACCAACAACCATCACCGCACACTAGTAGCGTCTCACTAGCGCATGACATCAGCTATCAGCATGCAGCAAAGTTTTGTTTTCAGTTGCCATTTCGTGTTTTTGGAGTGCTTAGTATGGACATCTTATTACAACGAGTAAGGCAACTTAACCAAGGGATAGCCAATAAAGCTGTCATGTGCCTATTTCCAGGAGGGTCCTTTGCTTAGGCTTACTCTTGTTCCCTAATCAGTAATACTGTAGTATGTCTACAGAAGTGTGAGTGAAAGTTTATTTGTTAGAAATCACCAAGCATTACATAGTTCTTGGATTATCCGAGACTGACGGATCACTATTACAGTGGTTTAATAATATAGAAACTCACTTTTTCCTCTTGCTGTAGCTTCATCTGTTTTGTATTTCTTTGTCTTAGCTTTGAATTGCTTAAAACCATAACTGGTTTTAATGTGGTCTAGTAATTTGTTCCAGTCTGTTATATCAGTAAAGAAGAAAGTGTTTTTTTTTTTTTTGCTTGACCACGGATGCCAGGTACCATAAAATTATGTTCACTCCCATTAGTGCCCTGCCGGTTCATATCCCTAGTCCTTGCAAAGTTTGCTGTTAGATGGTCTGGGTGCAATCCATTGAATATCCTGTAAGCTTGAAGTTTTTATTATTTTATTTATGTTATCTGTTACTTCATAATGTAGTGACTGGTATTGTACACAGTGTAATTAAAGAACAGAAGAGTAGTCATATAATAAGTTATAGATGCTAAGTGAAAGTATATAGGAAGATATTTTTAAGTGACTCATTTCAAAATTTTGCAAGTACTGTAGTACAGGTTGTACCTCTCTAGTCCGGCATTCTGTGGTCCGGAAACTCCCGTGGTCCGGAACGATTTTAGTTTGTCCAATAGGTAGATAGGCAGCTTTTTTTTTTTTTTTTTCTGAATTATTATTATTATTACAGGAGTATTAAATTTTTGCCCCTCAGGCCCCAATGTGGGTCAGTGACCTATGCCCGGGTGGGCTGATCCCCTTAAAAAAAAAAAGCCGCGGGAAATTAAGGTTTGTTTACATCCGGCAGTTCGGCTGCACTCTCTCTCTCTGCTTGTCTATGCAGAGTACAACATTTAACCCTTCAATATATATGAGCAGTAAATAAGTGTTGCTTTCATATTCTTATGTAGAGTAATGACGATAAATTTTCACATGTGCGCACTTACATACTAGCAGTCTCACTTTTTTTTTTACCATTAATGGTTAGCTACTTATATTGTTCCATTTATTAACATTAAATAACATTACAGGTACTTCAAGCAACCATATTCATTCTTTACATTAATTTTACTACAGCTAAACTCAGGGTCTTATTTTCTTCAGTTTTATATGTAGAACCAATCAGTCACTGGTTTCGTAAGCTTTAACATAAACAATGCCGGCAGCCGCCTCGTCTCCTCTAATATTCCACGTATTATTAATAAATTGTATTGTTAATTTTGCACACACGTACATTAATTCAATAAAAACAAATTCAGAAACATTAATTAAAATATATATGAACAGTAAATAAGTGTTGCTTTCATATTCTTATGTAAAGTAATGACGATATGTTTTCACGTGTGCGCATGCGCACTTACATATGCGATCTCTTTTTCCTTTACCATTATCGTTAGCTACTTCTATTGTTCCATTTATTAACATTAAATAACATTACTTAAAACAACCATATTAATTTTACTACAGCTACAACCAAGGTCTTATTTTCTTCAGTTTTATATGTAGAACCAGTCAGTCACTGGTTTTGTAATCAACGAAAACAATGTTGTGTCATTTCCTCGTGTGTTTTAATATTCTACGTATTATTAATGAATTTTATTGCTCATTTTGCACACATAAACATTAATTCGATAAAAAAGACATTCAGTAATAAACAATAATGAATCTCTTGTACATAAGAGAAATGACGCTGTTTACACGATTATGCACGTCGTCTGCACGTTGGCGGGCCGTTCAAACCCGTCGAAATTCAAGTTTCCGCCGTCAAAATTTTTATTTATTTATTTTTTTGTGTGTTTCAATAAAATACGTTAAGAATTAAAAACTCGCGAAATTTGAGAAGCTACTATACGACATTTAACCCTTCAATATGTCTTCAAAGAGACCATGACGCAGAGAAAGTGGTGCTAGTGCTTCCAGGCATAAGCACAATTCACTATCTATCCAGGAAAAGGGTGAATTTCCATGGTACGGCAATTTCCATGGTCCGGCACCGGTCAGGTCCCGAGGTTGCCGGACTAGAGAGGTACAACCTGTATAGACTGAAAATATAGTTTGTTGATTTTTTGTAACAAATACAGTACATTTAAACCTCAGTAAAAGAAAGGTGTCTACTTTAGGAAATATTAATAGAAATTCATAAAGTTAGTTAAAAAGAATTCATGACTATATACCGTGTGTATATATATATATATATATATATATATATATATATATATATATATATATATATATATATATATATATATATATATATATATATATATATATATATATATATATATATATATATATATATATATATATATATATATATATATATATATATATATATATATATATATATATATATATATATATATATATATATATATATATATATATATGTATATATATATATATATATACAGTGGGGTATGCTATAACGAACGGATCCTACTACGAATATTCCTATAACGAACGGTTTTACCTATAAAATTGAGAATGCTATAACGAACGAAACTCCTACAACGAACATTATTTAATTTTATTTTTTTTTATTTTTATTTTTTTCTAATTTATTGTTTTTTATTACAAGTATTAATGATATTCTTTATTTCAGGGGTTTAGATGCATATTTATGCACTTTTTTACAATTTTTACAATTTTATATTATATTTTTCAGTGTTAAGTGGTTGTATTTGGGGCCTGGAACGGATTAATCCTATAACGAACGAATGCTATAACGAATAAGGTTCTAGAACCAATTAGGATTCGTATAGCATACCCCACTGTATAGTGTATGTATATGTAATCGTGTAGGAGCACTTTCAGGGTGAGTACCTGTACTCACCCCTGAAGATGTGAATTACATAAAGCGCTTGGGAATTCGGTTTTCTTTCTGTGGTTATAGCATATATATATATATATATATATATATATATATATATATATATATATATATATATATATATATATATATATATATATATATATATATATATATATATATATATATATATATTTATATTTATATATATATTTATATACACACACACACACAGTATAATCTTCATTTACGCGGTCAATTGAACCTGTGGAGGTCCGCATAAAACAATAAACGCGTAAACGAAATAACAGAACATATAGGATTAATTGAAAGAGAGACTGGGCCGACTCCCAAACTCCACTTTTTCCAACACAATATATATATATATATATATTTATATATATATATATATATATATATATATATATATATATATATATATATATATATATATATATATATATATATATATATATATATATATATATATATATATATATATATATATATATATATATATATATATATATATATATATATATATATATATATATATATATATATATATATATATATATATATATATATATCCTGTACTGTATGTCATACATGATCCCAATTGATTTGCATTCCCTATCACTATGGATGGATAACCTCAGCTGACATGAACTTTTAGATGCAAACTCTGACACTTCTGGCACCAACTGTAGATATCACTCCTGCCTCATCTATCATGGTTACAATCCATGTCAAGGTTAGTGGTAGTCAGGTCTTGTACTGCTTGTTTGGGGATGAGCTAACACTTGTCAGGCAGCCAGTCACCTAATAAGTGTATGAATCAGAGCTGTCTGGTGCCTTGCTTGCTGATATTTTTTGTGGTGTTTGTGATTGGAAAAATATGTCTGCATTCCTGATTAGTGCAGTGCCTGCGTTACCCCAGACAATATTAATTTTTAGTGGAAGTGTACAGTACAGTACCCCTATACACCCCTTCCCTCTCCCTCCTGCTCACTAGTGAATGCTTCGAAATCACACTTCAGAGTTCAGGCTTCACACATCATGGAGAGAGAGGATTGGCAATGCTAGGTGGTAAGTGCAGGAGTAAAGCCAACTTATACATCCTTTTTCCTCCAAACAGTACAGTATACTTTAAGTTAGATATTATTTTTGAGCACTTTTCCCACCACTGGGTTCATGATATACTTTTCTGTTGTACATCAGGAGTCGCAGTGCTCATTTTGAAATTTATCGGACCCTTCCATAAAGATATTTTTTGGAACGAGTGTTCATTGTTACAAATAATATAGTGCAGTAGATTTACAGTACAGGTACTGTATTTTCCACGAGAATATTGTATTGAAATTTGATTTATTTTGCCGCAGAAATATATGTTATGATAATTGTTGTGTTTTTTTATTTTATTTTAATAATTTATGACAAGTTATATCTCAGTGATTACAGGAAGTTAATCATGTGACCCACCTCTTGTGAACTGTCTCACAATATTTATTTATGTACACAGTATCTCTAAAAAGTATGTATCTGTCTACACACTGTGTGAGACATTATGAGACAACAGATGTTAGATATTGGGACATGCATTTACTTTGGTGTATATAGTTTAACCTAAGTAATGCAATGTGTACAGTATTTATTTTGGCATACAGTAATTAATATGGTGTTCGGTTACGAAATGTAGTAAGAACAGTATGCCACAGCCACGCATACCAACCCTCCTGGGACATCATGAGATGCAGGTAGCATTTCGGAAGTCATCGGACCCATCCTGGCAGATACTTTTGTGAGCTACTGTACATAAATGCAGCTGTGGACTATTCTGGGTTACTGGAAAAGAGTGAGGGAATTTCTCTCACTACATTATTCCACAAAATTCACCATGCTACAGTGAGTTTGGTTACAAGTCTTACAAAATATTGAGATTTGATTGTACAGTACTATTATATAATGTATGACATAGATACTTTATCTGCTACAGTGGCTACACTATGATGGCTTTGTCTGGTGTGAATCCCAACATAGTACAGTACAGGTCATTAATAAACTTATTAATCCTTTCTACATATTTCATTTTCATTTTTGTCTGAGTTAAAATCCTGGAAGAAAAGGTAATGAACTTCTTAAAGTACAAAAACAGTGAGTTGTGATTACTTCAGGACTACATATTATACCCAAAAAACATTGAGTACACACTAGTACTGTATGGATGGTGGTACTATACCTCCTGTACTTTCTCACAACTTGAATTTTTAATCTCCTCAAAATGTCTGATATATTATAGTGTACTGTATATTTTATTAATCTTTAGTGGGTTTAATAATATAAGTTCCACCCACAAAATCTTTTAAAGATTTTGATGTATATATTTTACTTCTGTTGAGGGGGGATGCTAAGTTGTGTGAAGTGATAGGGTGAAAACTGATGCCAGACATTTAAGGCATTGTGGAAGGTTGGTACCATAATACAGTACATCTTGACAGCAATAAGACTGTGTGAGCAAAATTAAATGAAGAAGGAGTCTGTATGTCTGTGATTGTTCTCTAGTCAAGCCACACTGCATTGTAACAGGAAAAGATTTGAAAGAGTAAAAAATATAGTTAATAGAGTTATGACACCTGATGTAACCAGTGCTGTACACATTATGAAAATTTTGTATACAGTACAGAACTCATTACTGGAATTTACTTAAATTCTCTATAGGATGAATTTACCCCAAGAAGGAAAGTTTTATATGCACTGTATTTTTCTAACTATAATTATAATACAGGTTGACAATCCCTTATCCGAAATCCTTGGGACCAGAGGCATTTCGGATTTCGGAATTTTTCGGTTTTCAGAATGATTTTTTTTTTTTTTTTTTTTTTTTTTTAGTAGCCCACCCAGGCACAAGTCACTAACCCACATTAAGTTTGAGGCGAAAATATAATAATTATAATTAATAATAATAATTAATAATAATAATAATAATTAATTCATAGGTCTAGGTTGTGTAAAATTCGTGTTTTCTCACTTTTATCTTTTTTTCATTCTTGTATTTCTTTTATTATTATTATTATTATTATTATTATTATTATTATTATTATTATTATTAATTTTATTATTATATTTTCTTATTATTGTTGTTGTTATTATTATTATTATTATTATTATTTTATTTTGGTGTATTTTATTAAATTTTTTATTTACTATGAATAATTATTATTATAATTAGTATTACTATTACATTTTCGCCCCCAGGCCCCGATGGGTCAGTGATCTATGCCTGGGAGCTAATCCCTGTTTAAAAAAAAAATGCTCCACAAAAACTTAAGGTTTTCAGAGCTTTTCGGTTTTCGGAATTTCGATAAAGGGTTGTCAACCTGTACAGTGCAGTATGTTAAGCAAAAAAATTCATGTATTTCTTTTGATGTGTTTCATACTGTAATGTTACTGAAAATGTGATTTAGTTACCACATAAAGATTGTAACTGTAGAATGTGTTATCATGTATCTTGTATAAGATTGTGTGAATCAACTTATTTACTTGGAGAAATTTTCTTTCACAATGGAAAAGTATGACATTGTCATTATTGGTAAATAAGTCAACTCTGCCAATGTCAGTTGAGACTTGCATTATTCTTTTTGTACAGTCTAAGCAAAAGTGATAATGCAGAATTTTTTTTTTTTTGCACCCCCACATCCTTGTGTAGAAGTAGAAGCTGCTTATACGCTTCAACAGGAAGATGCTAAGTTCATGCTTCCTTTATGTCTCATGAGTTAAAGGCGAGAAGCCTGAAGAGTCAAGGGTGAGAAGCCTGAAGAGTCAAGGGCGAGAAGCCTGAAGAGTCAAGGGCGAGAAGCCTGGAAGAGTCAAGGGCGAGGCCTGAAGAGTCAAGGCGAGAAGCCTGGAAGAGTCAAGGGCGAGAAGCAAGGGCATAGAAGCCTGAAGAGTCAATGGTTTATGTCTAAACAAGTTAATGGAAGCTCCAACAACTTTCCCTGAATACGAATTTGGTTGTGATTTTTTCCCTTAGAAACTTAAGACTGAACTTTATGCTCAAGTCTGATTTCCATAAGCCAAAAATCTGTCACTTATATAATAGTCAAACCAGCTTGTAGAACTCAACTAATGCTTAGTGTTTCACTAGTTTTATAATGCTTATAGAGATATGATGTTGTTTATGACCAAGAAGGAGAGATCCTATATTTATTAATATGGCTGTATTTCAAGATGCAGAAGAAAATTTTTATACAGTACATATGTACAGGTATATAATTTTATGTGCTACAATGCACTAATTTGGTTCAACACTAAATTTTTTGCCTCAAATGTTACTCATAATTTACTTAACTACTTCAAGCACCCATCTTTGGTCATCCTTTCTTTGGGATTATGGGGACACTTTCGTCATGGCCCTCGACATCTCCAAAGCATTTGACAAGGTATGGCACGAGTCTTTGCTTTCTAAACTTCCCTCTTATGGTTTTTCTCCCCCACTTTGTTCTCTAATCTCTAGTTTCCTTGAGAACCAATCCATGGCAGTTGTTGTCGAGGGATTGATCTCTCACTCTTTCTCATCCAATAGTGGTGTCCCACAGGGTTCTGTTCTTTCACCTACTCTCTTCCTTCTTTTTATCAATGATCTACTGTACTTCACACTATTACAACTAATTCTATCCATTCTTATGCTGATGTTTTACTCTTCACTCTGCTTCACATTTTCCTCTTCCCCCTAACTCTCAAACTAGATCTGTTTCTAGAGCTGAAATCATTACATCTATCAATGCGGATCTGTGCAGCATCTCCGAATGGGGAGGTAGAAACTTGGTGAAATTCAATAGTAATAAAAAACAGTATTTACCAATTACACTTTCCAACTTAGATGATCTTCCACCAATCACATTTCAAGGTGCTATCACTCTGCCAAACTCTAAAATAGATATGCTAGGCCTCACCATCTCTAATATGTCATGGGAGCCACACATCCTCAACATTGCTAAAGCTGCCTCCCAAAAGCTGGGAATGCTGTACAGATGCCATAACTACAGTACTTCACTCCTGAGCAGCTGCTTCAATTATATAAGGGATTCATTCGTCCTAACTTGGAGTACTGCTCTCATGTCTGGGGTGGCTCTTCTTCTGTCCAACTGTTAGATAGGGTGGAATCAAAGGCATTTCGTCTCATTAACTCTCCTCCTTTAGTTGACAATCTTTCTTCCCTTTCTCTTCACTGCAATGTTGCTTCACTCTATCTCCCCTTTACAGGTACTGTACTTTAACGTGCAATGTTCGGTGAATTTGGTATCCTGTGTACCGTCGGCAAGGCCTTGGGCTCATAATACACGTCTTGCCAGCGGTGCCCACCGTTTCTCTGTGGATGTCGGTCACACTATAATAACCCATTATAGTACATCCTTCTTTCCTCACACAGCCAAACTGTGGAATGTTCTGCCTTCTTTGTTTCCACACTCATACAATCTGTCTCACCTTAAAAAGGGGGTTTTCCGGCATCTTCGTGGTGTAGATTAATATAACCTTTTCCTCTTCTATTTTTAATTTCTTTCTGCTCTTATTTTTTCGCCCCTAGGCCCCCCATTTTGGGACGATGACCTGTGCCCGGGTGGGCTATTCCCCGTAAAAAAAAAAAAAAGTAATTGACATAACATCTTTCTCAAGACATTTCAGAACATTTACGTCAGAGACTAAATGGTTGCCTGTAGATCCTTTTTTTTTCACGATTATTTTGGTGTTATTCAAAGGATAAATTTAGTTCACACCAAACCCATTTGTCAAAAAAGTTAAAAAAAAAATCGTAGGAACTGTAGACCTGAGTCACTCAACTCGATCACACAAGGAAATTGTACAACATTGATAAGAACATAAGAATGGGGGAAACTGCAGCGGGCCTATTGGCTCATACTGGGCAGTCCCATATACACCCAACTCCTATTGCTCATATATCCATCCAACCTATGTTTGAAGCTATCCAACATATTCTAGTCAATGATGATATTTGGTAACTTGTTCCACTCGTCCACTACTCTATTTCCAAACCAATGATTGCCTATTTCGCGCCTAAATCTGAATTTGTCTAATTTAAAACCATGTTACGAGTTTGGTTCTGGTTGGATAGTTTGAGTACCTTTGTAATGTCCCCTTTGTTCAGCCCCGACTTCCATCTATACACCTCTATCATATCGCCCCTCACTCTACGTCTCTCGAGGGAGTGAAAATTAAGATGCTTTAACCTGTCTCTGTACTCAAGGTTCTTAATGCCCAGGATTAGCCTTGTCATTCTCCTCTGAATTCTTTCCAAGGATTCTATATCCATCCTGTAATACGGTGACCAGAATTGAACTGCATAATCCAAGTGAGGTCTCGCAAGCGCAAGATATAGTTTTAAGATGACCTCGCTAGTCTTGTAACAAACACTCCTTTGTATGAACCCAAGTACTTTATTAGCCTTGTTTCGAGTAAATACACATTGTTTACTTGACTTAAGATTCCTACTTATCATTACTCCTAAATCTTTCTTGCAGTCGGATTTCTCAATAACATTGTTGTTCATGTGGTATCTGGTTTCCCTGTTTACATCTCCTATACTGGGTACTTTACATTTGTCCACATTGAATTTCATCTGCCATTTTTCAGACCATTTGAAATTTTTTTTTAGATCTTCCTGTAGTTTTGTGGAGTCCTTGTCAGATTTAATCACACGCCCTATTTTAGTGTCGTCAGCAAATTTACTTATGTTGCTGTCTATGCCAATATCAATGTCGTTTATGTATATAGTAAATAATAATGGTCCCAGTACTGAGCCTTGGGGAACTCCACTAGTGACGTTGCTCCAATCGGATTTAGTGCCGTTAATGCTCACTCGCTGTTTCCTGTCCTGTAACCACGCTCTAATCCATTTTAGAATATCTCCTTTAATGCCATGAGCCTCCACTTTTCTTATTAGTCTTTCGTGGGGGACTCTGTCGAAGGCTTTGCTAAAGTCGAGATATACCACATCATAATTGTGCCCCTCATCCACTGATTCGAAAACCGATGAAAAGAATGTTAATAGATTAGTTAG